GCTCGCGCGCGTGTATGTGAGTGTGTGTGTGCGTGCGTGTTTGCGTGCGTGCTTGGGTGTGATGAGAAACACCTTACTATATAACTATAATATATGCAATTATTTAGGTAAAGCTCGAAATTTCTGCCAAGAATAAGATTGCGCACTTGGCCTGGAATCAAATTTTCGTTGCCCGAATCCTTGTGTGGAAAATGTCCGGCATGCAAACAAACATTTGCTATTCGCTTCTCTTACCTTCTTTCTTCTCCCTAGTCTTTCTTATGAGTATATTATCTGAGCGGAATGTGTCAAACTCAAAATATATATACATTCGTGCAAGCACACACACACACACACACACACACACACACAGACGGAAATGTGCGTGTGTTTGGGTGTATGTATGTATGCTTGCTAACGTGTGCCTGAAAATTAATACGTGTTTGGGTTTTCTCAATATTTAACAGACACCACATTGGACCGTGAATTAAAAAACCTATAGTTATTGACGTTGTCATATATATATATATATATATATATATATATATATATATATATATATATATATATATACTTATTGTGTATATATAGGCAGCAAGTTTTCATTCATGCATGTTTCATTAAATAATATAGGCAACTTTTGCCTATTTATTTTAAGTAAGTTCCTTTCATATTGTCTGATAAGCTTAATAACATTATCATTGAAAGACGAACGGAAATCACCATATTGATACATGTTTAAATCTAATCTAAGCTTTCGTCTTACATAAGTCATTATCGAAGATGACAATTACATTTCAATATATCAGCCAATACACGGACGAAACAATAATGATAGTTTGTTTTTCTTGAATGAAAAATTTCAAAGCAATGACTAACTCTGGGTGTTGATTTCAATGTTCATTTTTATATTCATATTTACATACGCTCTGATATTAAGCAATATATCCCATAAATATAACACACCTTAAAACTATATTTCTTCATTTATATATATATATATATATATATATATATATATCTTTTAAATTTTCATATCACTTTGCCCATACCTGGGACCATAACGTGTGCTACCAGCTCGGGTCAGGTAACCCGGGACCAATAGCAATTAAGATGTGGTTCCATGCTCCGCAAAAGCTTCCGATCAGAGGCATTGCTGCCGGATGTATTTTATCGTCAAACTCAGGATGTTTGGATATTAGAATGATATGTAGAAGGGATAAAGAATTGATAAGGTTAATATTGTAATGACTGGGGAATCTTCCTCTCGGGAATTTGTTCCACAATGCAATCGCTCGCTGGAAGGTTCCTGAATAGAGATTCTTCCTGACCAATTGAATATGATGGTTACGGACGATGGGACAACACGGTGTACAAGGTCTGACGAATGTTATCTCTGTAGTACATGGATCGGGGAACCAAATATTGCAGAATATACACGGACGAAACAATAATGATAGTCTATTTTTCTTGCATGAAAAATTTCAAAGCAACGACTAACTCGTGTATACGGGACGCGTAACAAAAACAGACTATCATTATTGTTTGTGTGTGTATTGGTTGATATATATATATATATATATATATATATATATATATATATATATATATATATATATATATATATATATATATTAAAAAAAATGTACGCTGAAGTTTAAGGTGAAGCATGAAAGAGTCTGTTGCCAATTAGTGTTGATCTCGGTGTAAACTTTTATATTTATATATGCTCGAATTGGTAGTTAAATATGGAGTAATGATATAGTAAATTAAGAACTGATATAATAAATAATTATATACAGTGTAACCCGGATATAAGAGACCCGGATATAAGAGAAAACCGGATATAAGAAAGATTTTCTCTGGTCCCAAATTAGAGCCTGTGTTAATGTATATATAATAGACCAAACTCGGATATAAGAGAAACCCGCGTATAAGAGACTTCTTCTCCGGTCCCGACAACTCTCTTATATCCGGGTTACACAGTAGTAAATTTTCAGATCTATGGACTACCTTCCAAATATAGCATCACAAAAACTTATTATTTTCTTAGTCCTTAGAACTTCTTCTCTGTGGCATATCCCTTCAGGGTGTAGGCGATTGTGGCCATCCACATCTTCGTTTCTCTTGTAGCTCTTAATTTTCTGACCTTTTGTGATTTCATCCAAGCCATGTTCTGCCATTCATTTACTCAAGCTCATTAAGTATGTTTCTCGTGGCTTTCCCTCTCCCTCTTTCCCTCAATCTGCCCTTTGAGTATCAGGTTTTCCAAGCCCTCCTTCCTCATTAAGTACCCCATAAATTTCAACTGCCTCTTCCTGATGTTACATATGAATTTCCTTTCCGTTTCCATTTTCTCCAAAACTTCGTACATTCTCACGTTCTGTCCATAGTATCCTTAAAGTCTTTCCGCAGAAACGGCATGTCTGTTCCATCAATCTCTTTTTTATCCCTGAGGTTATCCAGCATTCGCTTCCATACAAGAAGACAGATATCTAGTCAGTGTTCAGTACTCTTTTTTGATGTTTCTAACAATTTTTTTTCTGTATCTTAATACTCTGCTTAGGTTTTGGAATGCATCTTTGGTCATTCTAATACCTCTTTATATCTCAGTGTTACACTTTCTGTCCTATGTTAGAACATTTCCCAGATATTTAAATTTCTGAATTGTTTGATTTTAATATTCACGATTTGTAATTTGCATTTTTAGTTCATCCTCTTGCTGAAAACCATGCATTCTGTATTTTAGTTTATACTTAGTCTTTTCTTCTCGCTTTCCTTCACTACCTTCTGTAGGAGAGTTTGTAGTTTCCTTTTCATGTCTGCTATTAATACTGAGTCATTTATTGTTAAAATTCCTTAAGACAACACCATTAAAAAAACAAGGCAGTTTAGCGTCACTTGATATAAAACTGTTATTAACAAACGTCCTCGTCAAAGAGTTTCTAGACATAATCTTTAACTCTCTGTATATAAATAATTCGATTCTACCTTCATCCATTAAACTAATATTCTCAAGAAATTATTGCATGCCTCTACTAATAAATTCACCCTTCTATGACCATAATGGCAATATTTAAACACAAACTAATCGTGTTATTAGGGGAAATTCACTCGGTCCGCGCTTCTCTAATTACTACATTTATCATTCACAAAACGACATATTAAAAAAAATTACTAATGCCAAAATATGTGTCCGCTATATAGATGATATTTATATTTTATCTGAGCGTAAAAATCGATAATCTCAAAACTATAAATGAAAAACTCTGTCCTTAACATGACCTATGAACTTATTAAAAAAATAAACTCCCATTGTTAGACGTTCTTATAGAATTTAGTAGTATCACATTCACTACTATACAAAAAAAAAACAACAATAATCCAAACATTTTTATAATTGAATGCCCACTTAGATATAAAATAGGCTTTAATTAAAATTCCTTCATGTGAATTCTTCCTCTCGTCCTATTTTTCTCAAAGAAATTAATAACAGTAAACAGACGCTAGTTAATAACGGTTTTTCAAACTACCTCATAGATTACCAAATAAGACTATTTCCTTCCAAGCCAGTAGCATCACTGAAAATACAGATAAAAGCAATAACATTAACATTTTCTATAAAAGTGAAATACACGTTAACTATAACCAAAATTAATTTTCTCTTAGTAACATTATAAAGAAATGCACAACCCTAGTTGACCAGACCAAGAAACTCAAATTAATTATCTACTATAAAAAAATAACATTATCGTTAACAACAACGCACCTGCAATATATAAATTACAGTAAAGTAATATTATTTATGAATCCACATAACCTTTAAAAAACTGTGTTCCTGATCAAAACAAATTCATGAATAATTATATTCGACATTCCACAACATGCATATCAAGAAGACTCACGTTACATTTCTCTGACCAAAGCTCAATGAGGACTCATTTAAACACACAAGGAAACCTACCAAACTTCATTCGCATGTAAAAAAGACTAAAAATAATAAGCACTAATAAAAAACTCCATCACTCATATATAAAAACATTTCTATACATTCAGTTAAAAGTAAAAAATAAAAAAATAAACATTTTTGATAATGGCAAGTAACACACTTAAGAAAGCAGAAATGTAATGCGTCTTTCCGTTAGCCAATTTTCTCCACAATAACCCCTGCTAGCATGCATAAAAGGAAGGCCGCCATTCACTGATGACCCCCTCATTTATCGTTCACGATAGGAGAGTCCACCACACACACACGCACATACACACACACACACACAAAATCAGTTTGACCGTTTATATAACGTCACTCTGAGTCTGTTGAAATGATCCAATCAAACGTGAGAACGCCGCAATTCAAAAACAGTTGCGTAACTGTACACAAAACAATCCTTGAAAATGAATGCAGTAATATTCGAAAATACTGCGGAAAAATAATATAAAACATCGATAAAACATTTTATCGATAAAGTAAAACAACTTATTTTGAAATTTGAAAAAAAAATTCCACATGGTTGAAGAAAGAAGTTCAAGAGAAATACGCCTTTATTTATTATACATATATTTAACAATTTAAATTACTCGCATAATTATTCATTACTCAAATAATATTTTGTCTTTCTAGAAATGTACGCCTAATTTTAAAGTAAATCATCTATTCTATCTCAATAATAACGGTTTTAGTCTTGACTTGATTTATTGTTCCAGAGATTTCTCACTCTCTTGGACTCTTGAAACCTCTGAAATTATAGCATCCTCCGAATAATAGGTGTTTTAATTTTACTACTTACAAAATTAACCCAAAATTTTACTCCATTACCCTAATAATGTTTTCAAAATTGTGTAAGTTGACTATTTCTATGAATGAAAATCTTTAGGACAGCCATTACGTCCATCTAATGTAGCTTTATATGCCTCACTAAGAATTATTGCTGAGAAATTAGTTTCATGTACATCTTTACCTAACACACATGTCTCTTTTTCTGATGCTTATTTAGGTGGTAATTTGGTTGCTTTTCTGGTCAATGTTGCTATTATTGGATATTTTATCTCTTAAACCACCGACTTCTAAAATTCCCTTTCTTTCTTTCTTTCTTTCTTTCGTTCTTTCTTTCTTTCGTTCTTTCTTTCTTTCTCTTATAATCTGTTCATATTTATCTAACACTGCTGTTTTGTTTTAGCATTTCAACCCACTTCTTTCAAGCTTACCAAATAACAATCCTCAGAACTTTTGGAAGGGCTTCATAATCGAAACGAGTACTTTTCGGCAATATATATATATATATATATATATATATATATATATATATATATATATATATATTCAAATTAAGCACACATATATAAATGTATGTGTGTATACATACATAGATGTACGCATATATTTATATTGATTACATGTTTTGTGCCTGTTGTTGTATTTTCCGACATATTTGATTTTTTTTTCTTATATATAATTATGAAGTGTTCTTTTCGCGCATAGCGTGCATTTACTGTCTTCTTATGTCGAAGGTGTGCATGTATATATTTAATATCAAATGCCCTTGTACACATGTTCGTTGTCTGCACGATTGTCGTTTCCCTATTAAAATAGTACATGATGAATGCCTTTCCCGAACGAGGCATAACGGGAATATTCCCGAATATCACCAGTACAAATAACTTTATATATATATATATATATATATATATATATATATATATATATATATATATATATATATATATAAAAAAAACGAAAACAAAAAGTTCAGAAATAGGAGGAAATGGACATGTAAAAAAAAAAAGAAATTCAACGAGGAATGAAGAAAACAAATAAATAAAAAAGGCGAAAATTATGCAGTGAATTGTCCATTTATCATACTGACACTCCCTTACATACAGAGGGCGCTACAATCCAATAGATAAAAAAAAATGGCGGGTGAGGAGTGAACAATATGAACAGAAAGGAGAAAAAGATTTGAGGGTATTTGGGAATAGATGACTATAAAAAAATAGTAATAATAAATGGTAATGTGTGCAAAATAAATAAATAAATGTCGGCAGATTCTCGCCAAAAGTATTTTTTTTAGTTAACAAAATAATATAAAAGTTACGAAGAAAAACAAAATAGAATGTAGACAGAAACGTAGGCATCGAGGGAGAAGAACGAAGCCAAAACAACAACAACAAAAAAAGACTGCTAAGTGAAAATTGCAGTACAAAATAATTAACTATAAAAAGAAAATTTGCAAAAAGGAAAAGAAAATGTGTGTATATTAAAATAATCTCTGTAAGGACAATTGCTGTTATATTATGGAGTTAGCCGTTAGCCAACAGATTCTGAGAGAAATAACGTGGGATTAACAAGCCAATTTCTATAAGCATGCGTCCCTCTGCTCAGGTACAGGGAAAGCTTCTTGGGGGTGAAGTGCAGGATGAATAAATAATGCGCATTTGGTGCAATCGATTATACGGGTTTGTTTATACGTTTAGCCTCAGAAGAGCAAAATGTGTTGTCCTTGAAGTTATCGGGTCTATAGGATTGCTACCCTCAACACATAAGCGAGTCATTCAATATTATTTACTAAATTATAAAAATACGAAATTAACTGAGTATGATTTTAAACTTGTAAACTATTTAATAAGTAAAGAAATATTAATTAAGAAAAGGGAGCGTCTTTTTAAAATATGTTTCCAAAGAAAATCTCTTTTATATATAAGACAAAATTTAAAAAAAAAATTTTGGATTTCTCTTGTCTTTTTATCCATTGTGTTCCTTATATATATATATATATATATATATATATATATATATATATATATAATTTATTTTAGGACATTAAAACCTTTAAAAAGAAGATAGCGATTTTTAACATGTTTTAATATTCTAAGATAAATAATATGGGATATGAGAAAATTACGTAATCAAAGTTTAGAAAATATTTTATAGGTGAAACTTACTATTTCGACGAATATATTGAGTTCTCTTTGTTCGTTGTAGTCTCCTTTAAAATAAATGGGAGGCATTGAATTCTTATTACCTACTTTAATTAAGCGAATATATAAACTTTGAACATATATCCATTTTGCAAATGCTCACTATTTACATTATTCGGACTATTGTCCACATCTTTGTCGCCATATTTATTACAACGTTTCGGCCGTTGTACGTTCCGGCTTTCTTTAGGTGGTTGAAATGTCGAACTGAACCCTTTATTTCGCTCACTGGGGTAGACTGTTCTAGTTCCAGGAACCATGTTTAATGGATGTCAGCTGTCAGTTATCTCCTTGTTAATTCCCCTCTCCAAGTTCTCCACAGCTTTAACCGGGTATTGAACTCACACTCGTGGAGTCCTGTCACTGGATCTAACTAACGCCTTTTTCCACTGTGCCAAGTGTCCTTGAGGAACAGTCTATACAAGTGAGCGAAATAAAGGGATCAGTTCGACATTCCAACCACCTGAAGAAGGCCGGAGCTTACAACGGTGAAACCTTGTAATAAATATGGCGACAAAAATGTGGACAATAGTCCAAATAATGTAAGTAGTGTATATATACCTCATGTCAGAAATATAGACAGATATTGAAAATGCTCATAATCCATGAATTGACCCAAGGAAATATTTGCATATATTTTTTAATTAAATCGATTCTTTTCAAATATTACATTTTTCGTCGTTTTCTATGGAATCTTGAATTATTTTCCGTTACAAATCTCTATTGTACTACGAAATTTGAAATAAAAATGAAATCTATGAAATTGATTGGTTTATAAATGGAACAGAAGTTCTGGAACATCTACCCACATACAGTAATTATATTTTTGTCTACATTTATCTGGTGTCGATCAGTGATTATTAACATCAGTGGGATTGATCTCAATGTTCACTTTTATTTACTCAACATATATCGAGGATATTTAGTACATTTACCCATAAATATAACACAAATTAAAAGTAATTAAATTCTATTATATCTATATCTATATACACACGCAGACATATAAATATATATAGATATATGTACACACACACACACACACGCACACACACACACACATATATATATATATATATATATATATATATATATATATATATATATATATATATATATATATGAAGAAAAATATACGGAAAGAAAACTAATTAGATAATAATTCGATTGAAGAATGGCAATATACTCAAATGCTAATTACCATTTGCCATTAAAGTTTTTTATTTTTTTTTATTTTTTATTTTTCCTGAAGCAGGTTTTATTCTGGTAAATCTGCCATAATAGTTGATGCATTGAAAATGTGATTTTGTACTTCTGAGACTAGTATAGTTTTAGTCTTCCTCGTAAATTACAGTGCCAAAATAATTCATTAAAAATTAAGCTTTCTTTGCATGAAAGCAAAGTTTATATGATCCAGTTGAATCTGACGAATTACATTAACAAGAGAAGCTGAAGGGTTACCTGTTTAATGAGGTATTATATGGTCAGATGACACTCGTAATCAGACAGATTTTATGATCCGCCATTATATTATGGAACTAACACTAGAGATCTTTGATTAGATTTCAAACCGCAGTTTGACCAATGATTTAGCGAATTATAAATCAGCTCATGAATTCAAATATTTATAGACATAAATGCGTCTTGAACCTGGATCAAAAATTTCTAAATTTTACAGTTTCAGTTTGTTTTATTGCTGATATAATCTGAGCAAAAGACACTAAGATGTGTGGGTTTTTTTTCTTTTAATAGTTAAATACCCGTCCGAAACTTTTATGGTTTTCGCATTTCCTGTTTTAATTATTATTCTAATTTTATATTTGCAGGATATCTAAAAAGATCCAGCTAGCAGGACGAGTAATCAGTTATATGTTTACATAAGTCGTTCTGTTACTAGTAATTTCATTTACTTGATTGTTAGTGCTATATTAAATACAAAGCTGCCGGTTGAAAAAGTCACCAATCTCTCTATATATACTCTGCTAAAATGTTGACTTCGCAGAGACACATACCAGTAAGAATCTAGGCATTCGTATGCAATATTAATTTACTGCTTACTCAATACTTATGATCAATATTCGAACCTAAATATAACGTGGCAGACCCTAATCCATTGGAAGATTAACAAAACCCAATTTTCTAAACCCACTACTTTCTCATGTCATTGTACCGTTAAAATAAACGATAACATTTTAATTTGATGAAAAACTACCAAATGTATCGTGCTGAGATTAGGTGTGACTGTTTGCCAAGCTAGGTATTTTTATTAAACAACTTCCCTAGACATGATTCTAAATTATACCAAATGCTGATTTACAATGCCATGCTATTTTATTATAAAAAAAGAAGTCGACTGTAGTCGGGATCATTGATTCAATGCGAACGATCTTTTCATTAGTTTCATAGTATGTACTTCAGCAAGGCCACAGTTTTGAATTCAGAGTTTTTCTTTGGACAGGTTTCACCCGTTACCTCACAAACGAAAGGACACAGTCTGTGCTACTATTTTTACGGTATTAGCACGTAAATGAATGTAAAAAACTCGACTGGAATTCGAACTCGGCTTCCTGGGTCTCAATCCATTACTCGGCTGTGCTTCTTTTTTTAATTATACACATTACAAATTACACCATTTACATTTAGACGGTTGTCCTAATTTCGACCGTTATTCTTTCCAGCCTTCATCAGGTGTATGTCGATCCGGGAAGTCTGAACTGAAGCCTTTATTTAATCGACTGAATGAAACTTTTTTCGTTCTAGTGCGCATGTCCAAGGTTATCTCGTCTAGTTGTCTTTAAATTGGGTCCAAGTTTACACTGACCGGCCCAGCGATTGAACTCTCCATTACTCTCTCACAAAATTACCGAAACACTCTACGAAGTTATTGTCACGTGACAATAGCCTAGTGGAATAATGCGCCGGGTGGCACAGTGGCCGAAACGTGATAAAAACAACAAAGATGCGGACAAAAGTTTGCATGTAAATAGTGTAAAAATGACAATTTCTCCTCATAGAAATTTTGCTTAATAAATATCAAAACAAAGAAGCTTTATTTCTAAACAAATTCATGTCAATGGTTATTAATAACTTATAAATACAGAACAACATCAGTTCTGGAACATCTCACATGTTAAACAAATCGGTTTTCGAACAAAATATTCAAGATGAAAACGTCTTGGTTATCAAACAAAATGTCGGTTCTCGAACAACATTGCCGAACAGAGCCGAACAGAGTTAACCCAAAATGAATCATTTCTTAGTCGACCGCCTTGTTGTATACATTACTGTGATGTGCTGTGCTTTTCTTTTCCAATTTTATTGTGCTGTGGCTTTTTTTCTAAGTCATGGCTCCAAAGAAAGCTAGAAGTGATACTGTTAAAGGAAAAATAAAAGTTAAGAGAAAAAGTATTGCTGATGATATTGTCTCTATGATGATAGTATTGTTTCTTCCTACTCAGTTTCATATGGCCAAATCAAAGATCTATACTATTCTTATAAATAAAGAAACGATCATGACTTTCCTTCCCCTTTTCAAACAATAACATCTCTTTTCTTCTCCGTCCAAATACATACGATAAAATTAAAATGGCCGTCTATATTTTATCTATTTAATATTGGATTTTTTTCTTAGATTTAATGATTTTCATTAGCTTTGTATATAAACTTGTGCACAAAATTCTGTTGTTAATGTTTAAATAAGCAATCGTGTTGGAATCAAAAACGGATTAATCCATTTTACATTGATTTCTATGGAAAAATGGTTTAAGATTATAAACATTTCGTGTTACGAACGGGCTTCAGAAACAAACTAAATTCGTGAACTGAGGTTCCACTGTAATTATGTCGTATTCGTCTCTTCTCAGCATAATTCAACCGCTTCTATTTTTTATTGTTACCATAAAAAATTCTTGAATATACCAACATTTTCTTTTTTTCTCACAAGAACATAGTAAATCTGGTATCGCTGACAAAACTAACTTGGCCCTTGGTTTCAAAAAAGAACCCCCAGTCTGTGGTTGACTGGGGCAGGAAACTGTAATGCCTCGAAACTGCCCACATTTACACACCACAGAGCCCACTCCTGCCTCCCAGCAGAATGGCTCGTGGCCAACTACACGAGAGCGCTTCTCTGCACCTGTTTGGTCTCATGCTGTCCGCTGACCTGAGTTAGAAAAAATACATTAAATCAACAGACACATCTAGGAACATTCTCCGTGCCGCACCTGAAAGTTTTTTTTGTCTGTATCCATCCTCCAAATCTATAAATCAACCATTCTTCCTTGCATGGAAGATTGCTGCCGTATATGGTCTGGAGACAACGCTGTTCGTCTTGAGGTCCTCCACAGAATCCATAGAAGGATATGCAATGTGATAGGTCTTGATCTGGCATCTCGTCGACAGTCACTTTCTCAAGGGCGTGCCGTTGATTCCTTTTGTATTTTCTACAAATATTTTCACGGGAATTGCTCCGACGAGCTACTTTCGCTGGTTACCAAACTGCATGAATTTAAGGCCCACCCTTTCATTGTCGAAACGGTTAAATGTAGCCGTCGCTTCTACTCCAACATCTAATCTGTCACTTCCCGTTTGTTGAACTCCTATCCTCTTACTTGGTTTCATGATAGCTATAATCTTCAAATATTCAAATGTAATGTCAATCGACGGATTCTGATGCCTTGGTCTAGTTCGCCGTCATTCTCTTTATCCTTTCCTAAAACACGCATCTTGTCTCTTCCTCTTCCTCTCTGTAAACCCTCATGTGTGCTAGTGGCACTGCCGTCTTGCTTGGGGTGGAATTCTTATTAAAAAAAAAAAAAAAAAACATCAAAAGAGAATTTAATCGCCTGTGTTTTAATGTTATACGCTGATTGTCATCTCTGTCAAAATGTTTTTTATTTTCCGCTTAAACTTTATCTTCTAGTACGAAGTCATTTTCCCTGTCAGAAATTACCCGTCCAAATGAAATTTGTTCTGAGCATCGTAGAGTAATATGGACAGAACTACTTGCATTATTCACATTTACAGAATGTTATCCTCATCTTCATTGCCACATTCATAACGTTTTGGCCGTTCTACGATACGGCCTTCTTTAGGTGATTGAAATTTCGTGTCATTTCGGAGAAGTATTATGACTACTTGGATTAATTACATTATTCGGAATCTCATCCTCATCTTCATTGCCATATTTACAACGTCTCGTCCGTTGTACGCTCCAGCCTTATTCAGGTGATTGGAATGTTCTTCAATATCTGTCTATATCTTTGAGATGAGATCTTATAATTAATTGCATTATTTACGTTATTCGGTCTGTTATCCTCATCTTCATTGCCATATATTTTGGTCGTTGTACGCTCCAGCCTTTTCACGTGAGTGGAATTTCGAACCGAATATTTTATTTCTACCACTTCCGCAGATTGTTCTAGTTCCACGTGCCATGCCTCTTTCGGATGTCTGAGCTTTAACTCAGCAATCCAAGTTTTTATTCACCATTACTGTGACCTGGTATTGAACTCACAAATCTTTGGGTCTAGTCGCTGAATCTAACCAACGTCTTTATCCACTGGGCCATATATCCTCAAGGATAAAGACGTCGAGTTAAAGGGATATAACTGAGACAAATGGAATAGGAATGGCTCTCGGAACTAGGAAAATCTACCCCGGTTCGAAATTTCAATCACCTGAAGAAGGTTGGAGCGTACAACGTCCGAGACGTTGTGAATATTTCAATGAAGATGAGAATAACATTCCGAATAATGTAAATAATGCAAGTAATCATGACACCTCATCTCAAAGATATAGACATTGACTAAATTCTTTATTTGTACTTTCTCCTGCCATCAATTCATTCATATTCACAAATAAAATAACTTATTTAATGGCTTTTCGAGATGTTTTACAGCAACTTAATAAACACTCTTTGATGACCCTTTTAAAAATAATACCATTGTCGAAAATGTTCTATTCTATATGATATTTAGACATTCTGTCAGTATCAAGCCACTTGAAGAGTTTGATTCGACTTGATGCAACAACAAATCAAAGAGGATCTTTCTCCGCACCTACGAACACAGATCCTCTCGCATTCTGCTCACGGTTTCCTATACCATGTTCTTGAGGAGGATGTCGTAAACTTGATCATCCCCTCCCTTTGTGACTGCGTTTCCGCCGCTTGCTGAACCCGGTAGCCTTGGATTATTGGTCCATGTCTGGATTACTTGTGTATATGCATTCCTAACATCCTTGGAAATGAGGTACGCCGATACAAGATTGCGCACCACATTTGCTGTTCACTTCGATTTTGCAGTCCAGACCATTCCATAGAAAAGTCCGGTTGGCCAATATGGATCGCTGAACATGTTGGTGTTTCTTTATTGCGAGACCATACGGATCACTTCTGCGTGATATTGATGCCACCTGAAGGAGTTACCGCATCGATTCCCGCAAATAAGTCAAAGCCTACCCGTTTGTCACGCACCCCGTAGTCTTCAACCTCGGCTAATTTACCACTGCCTGTGCAGATATTAACGGGCTCGACGCCACAGAACGCCCACAACCTTTTACCGACCGTCTCAACATCCACGTTCTTCCTTGTTCTCGACTGGCATCGCTTTGCACTAACGGTCGACACTGAGCAGACAGTGTCAGCGAGAGTTGAACACCATTGTTTGTCGACTAATACGTTGACTACAGGCGGCTCCGCATTTACATCTGGTCGGGGAATAAGTTTGGCGCTGATGTCCTTTTCCCGTTATAGGTTTCGCCGGGCATTTCAGCGATATATGGTCCAAGATGTCACGGCGATAGCAACGTACGTTTCTCTCTTTGCCGAGCTTGTCGACTCAAATAATATCTAGCCAAATGATTAGCACCGCCACATCTGCTACAGGCGACATCGCTCAGCGGATCATTCTTGGGAGTCGCGTCTGTAATCATTTGCTCAGGCTTCGCGGCTGCCACCATCAATTCCACCACCGGCGTATCATCCATCAGTATAGCTCTTGTTTGTTCTGACAGGTGGTTGACATCTAGTGCATCCATTCGAGACGAAGCGCGAAACAGCCACCCCTTGTCCTCAACCAACGCTGCTACAAATTCACACGGTCAGGCAACCCACCTTTCAAGGTTGATAGCCTGCGGAGGTCTGCAATGTAGACATCCACAAATTCGTTTGAATTCAAGCGCCTTGATACGAATTAGTAAAAGGCATCTGTAGCAAAAGCAACATACAGAATGTCCCTTAAGAGGCCTACGTATTTCCTTTCTTGTTTTCTTGTTGGAACACAGCAAACGCACCTCCCGTCAATCGGAATGGCAGAACGCTAGCAATGTTCAAGCTGCATAGATCACAGTTCAGACTTTTCGAACAATTTAACGATAGAAAGATCCCAGTCTGAACCATCAAATTCGGGGACTGACCTCAGATCGAACTTGCCATTTGTCATGAGTGCAGCATTAGGCTGCGGTAAAGAGACAACACATTGTTGTCAAAATAGAGTAAAATTAAAGTAAAAATAAATTCATATGAAAATGATAAGCTTATCATATCTTCAATCGTTACGGTTGCAAAATGATTACCCAGCATTAGACAGAGCTTACAGCCATGTCATGTTTAAACACCGGATACTATACAATAATCGAAGATAAGCAATATCGAGACTGATCAGTACCTAGATAGGTGACCGATTGAAAATATCAGGTTTTGTAAGCTTGAACAGGCGGTTGGTGTAATCGATAATGGTTCCAAGTGTAATCAATAATGACTCCAACTGTTAATCTGAGAGCAACGTTCCAATTCCACTTGGATTCATCATATTCACTTACGCGCAAGTACACTTGGAAAAGGTAAGAAACCCCTTCTTTTCCTTAGCTATGGGTTATATAGTACGAATTTTATCATTAAATGATTATTATCTAAAAAGAAGAGATTTATAATCTAAAAATATGCAAATGTCTCAGAAGCCGTAAAAAAAACTATCTATAAAAAAACATTAAAATACAGACTAAGTGTTTGCTTATAAAAGTTCCTTTTTTCCATCAATCTGATAGCAAATTAATCTCCTTTGTACCAGCGGTTGATGTTCAAATTCTATTAAAAATCACCGTCCTGGCTAAGACGATAAACTACATCCGACAGCAAGGCCTTTCATCACGAGGCTTTTGAGGAGCGTGGAGGGTTAGGGTTACATTGTTAGATGTTAATTGTTTGTGTTCCCAGGTCAATCCTGACACGGTGCGGCAGCACCTGTCATGGTCCCAGCGATGGGAAAATTGTTAACCCCCAAAAGGGGTCAAAACATTATGAAAGTATAAAAATAGGTTTAATACCAGCAATAATTTTTTGGAAAATTTATTACCAGCAATACATTATTACCCGTAGTATATTTTTGGAAACGAGAATATTACCAGCAATAAATTTTGAAAAAAAAAAAATATATATATATATTACCACCTATATAGTTTTGAAAAAGAAATATTACGAGCAAGGAGATGTCGTTTGTATTAAATAACCCATTGAGGTTGATGTAACAAACAAAAACAAAAAAAACAGAATTTTGAATTTTGGGCTGGCAAAAATCCCAATTTGCATAATAGTCAAATATTGATCTCGCCATTTGACCTTGTGTTACGTAAAGATCGATTTTCTACTTTAAATAACCTCGAGATCTTTTTTACTTACAAATTTGCAATCGAACCAGTAATACCTCGAAACAATTTTAGAAATGCTGCCATTATGTCTTTTAGCTTGTTAAGTATCCAGACGGTTGTGAAATTTGTCTCTCCACATCCTGCTTGGAACAATGATATCATGAAGACAGACTGACGACAGAAAAAGAAGGGACTAGGTTATTTCACCCATTTATTTCCTTTTCTTTTCTTTATTATATTGAATCAATAAAAGAAAGGTCTTCATTATAGGGTTAATCGTCTCTGAAAGGAGAAAGGACAATAATGGCCGAATCGAGAAAGGGGAGCGTTATCGGTAGTAACATTTTTTTTCCTTGTCATGTGTTCGTTGTCTCATTACTTTCCCTAAAAAAGATGCTTGTCTTCTACAGAATTCTATGATGAACGATTTCAGACGGATTTTATGCAATTGTTCTCTTCTTTTTGTTTTACATTCTTTTTGAAACTGTTTTCTTTCATTCCATTTCTATTGTTTTTCTTTCTTTATGTTCCTTTGTGATGTAATTTGTACGTCGTATAATTTAATCATTTATTAATTGATTGATTAACAGCTTTTGTTTCCGTTTCAAGTCTTTGTCGCTTTCTTTTGCATTTTTTCTTTCTCCACGATATTTATTTAATTTATTTTTTAAAGTATATTTCTTTCTTGTTACATAACTTTCTTTTTTATTCTATATTTTCCTTCATTTTCTCTCATCTTTTTCAAAATTCTATTTCTCTTTTTTTCTTTTGCATGCTTCTTCCTCTTTCTTCCGCTTTATTCTTGCTGTAACCTAGAAAGGTTTACTGAATGAAGAATAAACAAAACAGAATATGTCTATATTTCTGAGATGAGGTATTATGCACACTATTTACATTATTAGGACTATTGTCCTCATCTTTGTCGCCTCAAGGACACATGACACAGTGGATAAAAGCGTTAGTTAGATCCAGTGATTGAACCCAAAGTGTTCAATGCCCGATTAAGGCCGTAGAGAACTTGGAGAGGGGAATTAACAAGAGATAACTGTTAACTGACATCCATTAAATATGGCGCGTGGAACTAGAACAGTGTACCCCAGTGAGCGAAATAAAGGGTTCAGTTCGACATTTTAGCCACCTGAAGAAGTCCGCAACGTACAACGGCCGAAACGTTGTGATAAATATTGTGACAAAGATGAGGACAATAGTCCGAATAATGTAAATAGTGTACATAGTACTAATGTCAAAAATATAGACAGATACTGAAAGGCTGAAACGTTGTAATAAATATGGCGACAAAGATGAGGACAATAGTCCGAATAATGTAATTAGTGAACGGAAACAGTTTGAAAATTGAATGGTAATCTTTATAACATCAACAATATACAATACTCGCCAGCGACGTGAAGTAGGTAAACAACTGCTAGCGGTGCACTACTTAGACAGCATATTACCCCACTTACAATGGTGTTCAACGTATTTATGAGGATTGAGACATACCCATTAGTGTTCATAGGTACAGTATATAATAATTCTATTTTTTGTTTCATTTTTATTTCTTTTATCCATTTTTTTCTCTCTTTTCTTTTTGTTGTGGATTCCGGGTTGAAATCCGGTACAAATAAATAACAAACTCCAGGAATGAATATAGGAAAATAACGTATTTAACGTGATAATACAAACTGGTAAAGCAGGTTAGTAGTTCCAGGAATACGAGTTAATAGCAATATATATATATACAGTCTTTGGTATTGAAGTATCGCTGTATGTCTTCTTACTGAGTCTACGTGCTCACTCACTGTGACTCCTACAGCGCTGTTATCTCACCCTCACTCTTCCGATTACCTACAACCTTTTACGCTGTCACTCTGGACTCGACTCGACGGTCTTGCTCTCGTCTTGCTCTTGCAGTAGTATATGTATATACTGGGTGAGTTCATTTGTATAAAAAGGGGTGGACCCGTTAACACTTTTCATTCTTTGCTTTTTTCCTTCAACATTTCTTTTATCTATCACTATTTTCACAATCCAATTTATCTTCTTTTTCTATATTTCCTTCTTTATATTCGGCCTCTTTTTAGCTTTCTCTTATTTCTTCCCTTTCATTATACACTTCTATACTGCTGTCGTCAAGGACAAATAACCCAGTAGTTAAAAGCGTTGATTGGTTCTAGTGACTTGTCTCAGTGTTGGGAGTTCAATATAGGTCTACGCCACTGGTGAACAAAAATCTTGGAGAGTTGTGTCAAAGGGAGATAACTGATACATCCGGAAGAGGCGTGGAACTAGAGCAATCCACTTCGTGTACGAAATTGTTCAGTTCGAAATTCCAATCACCTGAAGAAGGCCGGAGCGTAAAATATGGCAATAAAGATGAGGAAACCGTCCGAAAAATATAAATAATTACAATATCCTCATCTCAGAAATATAGACAGTTATTCTTTTTTTTATGTTTTATTTAATTACTTTTCTCTTTCCCTGATTGTCTTTTTCACATATTTTTTCTTCCCAGTATTATTTTTTTTTTCTTTCATACTGTTTCCTGTTTTTATATCTTGTTTCTATATTTTATTTTCTACTTACTATTTCTTTCTTTGAGTTTTCATTCTTTTCCTTCGTCTATTTTAATTTTAATTTTTCTCGTTTATTCTACTTAGGTTTCTTTTTATTTCTTTCCTTTTTTTTATTTTTCTCTTTTTTCTTTAATTTCCTTTACTCAATATATTTCGCTTTTTCTTTTCGTTTTCTTTTTACTTCCTCTGTTTTTTTCTTGTTCTTTCTGTGCTTCATTTGTTCTCTTTTTCTTTTTCTTTTCTTTCTTTCAAAACTTTTTTTCTTTTCGATATTCTCATAGTTAACTACTTGTTTATCTATCGATTAATTCATTCTTTACGCTGTTTACTTTGTAAATCTTTGAATTAGGAAGATTTTTAAATTAATTAAATTATGCAGATAAAAGATTTTATTTATTATATGATATATAATTTGAGTATTGTGATCTTTAATTATTTTCAGTTATTAAATAAGTTTTTCTTTCCTTCTTTTAATTTTCACTTTCTTAAATCGATATTTTTTTCGGTCAAGAATTATTCGTTACTATTATTCAATTCTTCTCGTTTTCTTTTCTCTTTTGTTTATTATTATTACTTTTCCGTCTAAATATTTACTTGTTTTCTTTCAATTTTAATTAGGTTGCGTCTATTTTATGTTATTTCATTAACAGTTTGTCATTTATTGCTGTGTTCAACTTCTTTGTTTCTTCTTATTTATTTATTGCTGGGGACTATTATTGGTAATTTCAGCATCATCACCCCATTTTTTGGTGGGGGGATTTGGTGGCTTATCCTTTTTTTACCATTTCAAATGAACAACTTAATAGGTCTTACATAAGCGTTCATAACTCGTTCCTCTTTCTATCAATATTTTGTATGTTTCTTAATACTTTACCCAACTTTTGGAAAACACATTTCGCTACATCCGCTTTTGGATTTCCGTGTCACATTTTCTGCCCTCGTTTCAGAGGACGGACTAAAAGAAGATTCCTTTTTTTTTTATATATATTTATTGTAAGGCATATTTTCCGTTAAGCCTATGCATTACTGTGTCGCTTTTTCAGTCGTGTATTAAAATACTTTCCACGTCGTTCAATTTCTCTACTTGATTGTCTATGTCATCTCCAGTACGTAGCTTGCGCCGTGGGCTGCTCTTCATTCTAAGCACAATGCATTCTTTCTTCTTAAACTTAGATGATTATATGACTAATATTCACTAATGCTGTATCTTCATTGATAAACAAGGAGAGTATAATGAAAAAATAAAGATTTTTTTTTTTTTTTCTTTTCATGATCACATTAAGGTGATATTAATGCAAAATTATAACTTGTTTCATTGTCCTTCGCAGATGTTGCGTGATACTTTATCTCCACCCGCTTGCTCAGTCGTGTCAAGTAGGCTTGTTCACGTTTTCTACTGATTATCATCCCTTCATAAAGCCGTGTGGATGTTAAATTATCAAAGCGGAATATCCTGATATTTCAGCATTAGCTTTGATTATGTCCATAGATAAATGCGAACATTACAGAAACTCTGTAATGTTCGCATTTATCTATGGACATCGTCTTTTCTTATCCAGTCTGTCATGTATCCTTAAAATTCGTGGAGAAACAAACTCTCTATCGCTTCAAACGGTTTCTTCAACTGTGACGACATTTTCCAGTATTTAAATGAATATAGGAGATTAGACATTATGTTGCAATACACCAAACTTTTCTTTGTTTTTCAAGATATGTTTCGTTATCTGAAACCCTTCACACTTTCTGAAAAACATTTTTCCCTATTCCTACGCACCGTCTGATTCCTGTGCTAACTCCACAGATAATTTCTTACAACTAACTTTAATGTTCCTGGTATTTGTTGCATCTTTGATTTTTACCATGTTTTCTGTTTTTTCAGATAATCGTTCGTGATTTGTTCTTACTTCTCTGGAAAATATTATCGAAAATTACTTCCATCTTCTCTTTTGTATTTTCCAGCAATTTAGTAGGTCTAAGACAGGATACAAACAAGGAGGAAGCTTATGTTCAACATCAGGAAGAGGCAGCTGAAGTTCCTGGGATGAGGAAGGACTTTCTGAAGAATCTGATACTCACTGGCCGAATAGATGGAAAGATAGACAAGGGAAAACAAGGGACCTTAAGCAAGAGGATGACAGAACGTGGTCTGGGGAAGGCGGCAGAGGGAGGAACTTGTTGAGAGCTGCCAGAGTTAGAGGGAGGTGGAGAGCAATGATCGCCTACGTCCTGAAAGGACACGGCACACAGAAAGAAAATATCTTGTTATGATTACGATTGCTAATATTAAATCCTTGTATACACTGTGTCCTTTTAGAATAATTGCGCTGTATATCTTAATTATATCCGGTACGAATATGAACTTATTTCATTAAATTTCGCAGACAACCACACTGCTTTCAGTACGGGTCAAGGAATATCTAAACATATTTTCCATGTAGAGCAAAATTTCGTAACCTATCAGTTATTTAACGAATTCAATTATGTAATAAATGCATTGCTGTTGCATTAATAGAATCATTTATGAATGTTGAATGTAAATAAATATTTATTGTGTTACAATTCGGCTATTTTCGTATCCTAAATATTAACTATTTATATTGAATGAAAATCAAGCCTTCTGTTGGGTGAACACTAATGAGAAATATTTGTTTACTTATGGGATTCATGAAGAAACAATTGGACAGAATTCACTTCAGCAATTTGATATATAGTAACCAGCTGCTTCTTTAACACTGGAAGATGTTTGGAACATAAATATTAACTAGTCATGTACTTAAATATTCATGTAATATCGAGATTCTCATCGATAATGTCATGCATGGCGCCTGATTCGTTTAGAAATGTCTAACGGATCAGCTTTATACAAATGATTTTTTCTGAGCTTAACAATTAAAAAAAGGTTTCATGTGAATAATTCCTCGAGGTCATAAAGAAAGTAGTCTTTTATTGGATATTATTAGACCGATTCGTTTTATACTGCTTATCAACTATTTGCAGGTTATTTAAAAACAGAAAATAATGTTTTGGAAATTATTTAGAGGAGCATGGTGGATTAATGGATAGTGGCTCGGATTGAGTAATCGGAGAGCCGAGTTCGAATTCCAGTCAAATCAATTACATCCACTTGCGTGCTAATACCTTTGAGAATGCTATGTATAATCTTCTTCTCCCATCAGCTAAATAGCAAGACTGACCGGATTCTATAGTCTTGAATGGCAACATACTGCGGGAAAAATCTGCCTCGTCAGTCATGTATCGAAAGACAAATGGCACATAAATGACTGAATAATACAAGTCATATGCAAGTCATACATTTCTAGTTGGAATTGGAAGGTGACTCTTCGATTCCATGCCATTATTACAATTATTATATTAGGATATTCCTAAGTGGTCACCCGTGAAACTTAACGTTGCTTACTTCGCTCACCCTTCACTAAATCCCTTCTCCAAATATTGTTCACAAAAACAATGAACGACCATTACCAAATAGCAAACATCACTTGTAAACTTCCAATAGCAAAACTTAAATGCATAGCACATATACTTGGAAAGGAACATAATGTTCTTATCAATGTGTTGACTTTCCACACTTAACTAAAAGATTATGATGGAAACTCAGATCAATAAGCGATAATAGTTAAGTAGAGAAGCACATTTTACTGAAAACACATTTAATAAAAAAAAATGTATTAATTAGCTTCGAATGTAACGCTAAATATTTGTTCAATAAATGCTGAATATGTTCTTGTAAAGGAAACGGCAAATTTCTCCATTATCCTTACAAATAGTAATTCTCAGACGATTGATCTACTTGGATACTCCGGCATTTCGCCTATATCTTCGGTAAGCATATCAGTGTTCAAATCGTCTAAAAATATCAGTATATCTGTGAAAATCCCACGCGGTCCTCTTCCTTGCTTTAACAACTTAACATTTGCTACCCTAAAACCTGATTTCATATTAAGAGTCCTTTTATAGTTTATGCATTGAAGTTATCTGAACTCTTGATTTCATGGAAAAAATCATATCTACTCGTTTTAGTGTTGTAACATTGTCTTTCTTTATTATGACCCTTCTTAAGATTTTATTAGGTTGGTGCAAAAATAATGACGTAAGAATGTCGTTTTTTGGCGTAGAAAAGTACGTCAAAAAACGACATTATTACGTCATTATTTTTGCACCAACCTAATATACATCATGCTAACGAGCATTTTTCAGAAATGTTCTACTTTGATCCGTTGCAACATGTCATGCAACATAGATCTGTGTTCGGCAATTCTTTTAAACCTACGCACATTCCTATTATTTCTCTTTTGCTTGTCTTTACTTATATGCAATCTGTTTTGTTAAAAACACATATGTCCAAATACTCTGCGCCATGTCTCTGCATCGTTTGATGTCTCTCCTTCATTATTATGATGATTTTCTCTTCTCATTTGTCTTGTATTTTTCCACGGGATGACTTATTTTCCTGTTGTTACTAGCAATTCCCTTTAAGCATTCTAGTCTTCAATATCTGTTTATATCTCTGCAATGAGGTATTATGATTATTTTCATTATTTACATTATACAGACTGTCTATGCTCAGCTTCATTGTCATGTTCACAACGTTTCGGTCGTTTTACACTCCAGCCTTCTTCAGGTAATTGGAATGACGAAACGAAACCTTTATTTCGACCAGCGGGGAAGATTGTTCTAGTTTCCCAATTACACATGGTCCAGTGGATAAAGAAGTTTGTTTGATCCAGGGACGAAACACAAAGATTTGTGAGTTCAATACCCGGCCATAGCAGTGGTGAAACAAAACTTGGACATGAATTAAAAGGAAATAACTGAGACACCCGAAAGGGACATGGTACGTGTGCAAAGACCGAAACGTTGTAAACATGACAATGGAGATGAGGATAACTATCCGAATAATGTAAATAATGCAAGTATTATATTCTTACCTGTCTGGCAGTCTCTGATCTATACACACATGCGTTTGCAAATTGAGTATTTTGAAGAAATTCGCTTTTTTTTTTTTTCATCCTTAGCTTCCATGTAACTTCTTTGGGATCCTTCCCAGTATCGGTGCCTTTCTCAGAAAATACAGCGTTTCCAAAATTTAGGCAGATCTAGCTGCTATCTATTCCACAGTTTTGGCTGTTCTGAAAACGAAATTTTATTACTTGCCCACTAAGTGCGAACACTTGAAACAATTTTTCCATCGCATTCATTGTCTTGCGGAATTTCATTTGTAAAACGATTTAATTATCTTCCTCCTATTTGACTTCTCATT